TATAGATAAACACTGCTGTTATGCCCTTATTGAATGGAATAAATAACTGAATTTAAGACGAGTCAAATTCAGATTAAATAAATAAAATGCCATAATTATAATTGGATTGGGAATATTAAATTATATTGAACATTTGTTTGGCAGTTGACAAATGGAATTTCTATGAGTTAAGCTGGGTTGAAGAGTAGATAATATTATAATATTTTAATTGAAGAATTCCATAATTGGTTATCATAAAGAATCCTTTTTCTAGTTTATCATGCAGTACTTCATCCCTTGTACTATGAATCCTGATATGGTCAATAATATTTATAATTTTTTTTTAATTTTAATCGCCTTTAAGTTAGGGTAATGATGATACGAAACCTACCTGGGTTATATTATAGACTTTATAGGGGAACTTTCTTCAATATCAGGACTTTTTTAATATTCAATACTTCTTTATTATCCCACTCTAAAACTCATTAATTTATCTACATATCGTATATTTTGTTTAAGAATAGGAGATGGATCTTAATAGAATAGTCAATAATAATTGGCACTCCTTATTCTCAATTTCACAGTAGAAGGATTTACTAGAAACAGCTTCCAATAATATATATTTCAAAGTATTTTTGCACCTGTGTGAATAGTTTGTTGTATCCACTTTGGTAAGACGTGTATCCAAGGCCAAATCGAGATTCTCGATGTTGGCCACCCTGAACGGAGGGAGCATCCGAGGATGATGCACGCTGCACCATGGGCCTGTCAGCCCTGTAGTCTTCTTCGAATGAAGATATCTTGATGATATTGTCGACGACAGGGTGCGAAAGCGACAGCGTTCCCCTGCGAATGCCACAGCTGGCGAATGACCGCAGATGTTCCGATGATAATGATGATGATGATGGATTGCAGAACGTTGACACTGCTGGCAATGATTAGGCGATTGATTCCAATGCAAAGCGACACTCCGAATCAAACTCCGACTGGCAGTTGTCAGAGTATCGGGTTGTAAATATACAAATATTCTAGCAAAAGGTTTTAATTCCACTTATTGTTTCACAGTTTGGTTTTGGGTTTGTTGCATCAACATTGGTAATGATGGATTAACAATAATATTCATCAGATCCGGCCGAATCCGACACTGACACTTGTACAAAAACACCGACAACGTCACCGTCACCGTCACCGACACCGTCACCAACAACGACACCGACACCGACACGCACACTGACAGCGACTGTGCGTGCTTTTAAGAGAGGGAGGGAGGCGAGTGTAAATGGGGTACACCAACTGTAAATGCTGAATCTTTACTGGAAAGGAATTCCTTTTTCGGCTGCTGCTGCTTTTGCGTTTGCTTTCCCCTTTGTTTGGTTATTGTTGAGGGCAATTTTGGAGCGTCTGGCAAATTGATTCCGTATCGACGCTTTTCGCTTTTCTCTGCCAGTTTAAAAATAGGAATTTATGTCAGTCGAATCGAGTCGAGTCGAGTCGCGACTCTCTGCTCACATCACTTTTTCTAGTATATGCACAAAACGAACTGGAAAACAGTGTCGGGCGGGCGAGCAGGCGGGCTGTCGGGGTGGCAGAGGTTACTGGTGGAGAGGTCGCGAAAAATGATTTCAGTTAAGCGTGGCCGTGTTTTTCTTCTCTAAAACTTCGATTCCCTGCGATTCCCGGTTCTATGCTTTATCAGATTTTTATCACTTTTTTCCTTTACCGATTTCGTCAGTCCTTTTAAACAAATTTCACTCCATTCACATCCACATTAATCTCGATTCGAAATTCGCCCTCGACATTCACTCGATACTACTCCGCACGCAAACTGAATCGTTTCTGTATGTGGAAAATGGTTTTTCCGCCACGGGAAATGAATTTTGTGTAGAGTTTTCTCGCTCTCTTCCAGTGCGTAAATCTGCCTCTTCCACGCTGCCGCCACACGCCATGTAAACAAATTCGTTTTCAAGAGCACTCTCCGCGATTTCGTGCCACTGTGCGCACGGAGTTATTTTTGTTGGTTTACCAACTACTTATTCCAGCAACAAAATTGTAACGAAATGAGCGCGCGCTGTCATCGCTGGTCAGTGTCGTGTCAAGTCGGGAAAATCAATAGCGCCCGCATATTGTGTGACAGTCGGGGGTAGGTCTGACACGGGGGAGTGGAGTCCACCTGTTGGCAGCCAGACCTGTCGCCCTTCAGCCGCGGGCATCAAACCCCCTAAAGGGTTACAGCTGTTGGACACAGTTACATACATACATGCATATGTATTTACATCTCTTTACGCGAATAAATGGTACACATACCGTTACTTACAATGCACAGGGTTTTAATGAGCGTGAAATTGATGGCACAGCCTTCAGCAATGGGTAAAGTTTTGGCACAACCTTTGAGAATACTGCTAAAAATCGTTGAATTTAATGTAATGTTACTATTTTTATACAAGTTATGTGATAAATGCTGTCTACGTCATTGTAATATGATTCACGAAATAGTTCTGAATTTTTGTAATTATCAAAAGCGAATTTCACATTGCTCGAAATCAGCTGAAAGTATGATTTCCATAATTCTGTTTTTGAAATGTTGAGTATTACCTAAACTTACACCATTTTAAAATTTAAATGAATGCTAATTACTGCAGATTAACTAATATTGCCGTCCCACTGTGCCCCTTTAACGTAAACATTCCGCTTTCCATTTCCATGCGACAAATTACAGGAAGAGAGAGGGAGAGCGAGAGCGTAAACTTATTTCCAGACCAGCGGAGAGAGTGAGAGTTTGACAAGTTAATGAGGGAGAGAGGACGCATGCGCCGTTGCAATTCTCCACTGCTGCATTGGACATGCGTGGACTTTTTCTGTTATCTGAGCACTCTTTCGCGGATTCTCTTCCCTTTCGACCAAGCATGCGGTTTGTAGAGAAGGTCGGGGGTCGTATGTGAATTTCGCCTTACACTTTTTCAAAGGAATAAACATTTTAGGCCCCCCATCCGCACACTCGTAGTTCCCCATGGAATTTTTGGGAGATGGGAGTGTTCGGGTCGATTCTTTGTTTACCTTTTACTGATTGCCCAAAAGTCCCATCGAACGACACAAAGTTTGAAACAGTGCCAAAACTACTAATGAACTTTGGTTGCCATCGATACCCTACCCTTCTTCCCTCTTTGACATTCCTTCCCCTCTTTGTGGTCATCTTTTGTTGTTGTTCGTGCTTCGGGTGGGGGTCAATGTTCCGCACTGCGCTTCCAGTGCAATTATATTATTGCTCGGCCCCAGCAAATATGCGCGTATTCATGGTCAGCAAATTTACTTCCCCATCACTGTCGTTGACCGCGGACAGCTTGACGACAGCATTTAAAGGTGGGTCAGGGCTTTCGATATGAATTCTCATTATGAATATTTATGTATTTAAGTATGTTGAGTGCATGGAGAAGCGTTATTGATACTCCCTATAATGTATTTTCTTTAGAGAACCACTTAGGCATTAGGAAATTACTGAATTTACAAGCATTAATCTCACAAAACTATATCTGAATATTATCATTGCCCAGTACTTCTAGATCAAATTGATTTATGTATGTGGTCTGCAATCTTAATCCTCTCATTAGAATGCAAATTCGACATAAAATACTTCTTGTATACCGCGAGGGGCCATATAAACAACAAATAAATCAAGGGAAACCCCAAAGATCCGTAGAAATTGTTTACAAGTGCAAGAAAAGTATCAACATTACGGACAATCACGACAATGCCGGGCAGAGGATTCCGTCGATGAGTAAGAGCTGAGAGATGAGATCGACTCTCTAAACCCACCCCTTAAATGATTTGTGTGGGGCATGGGAGCAGAAAAGAACAGACGGTCGAGCATTCGTATTTATACAGTGCGCGACAAAAATATAATGCAGTAACAACACCAATGCATTCAACGATATTTTTTAATTGCTGTGTGAGACTATTAAGACTATTATTAACATTGAACATTTATTTTTCGTGAAAACCCATGTCTATAGGGCGGAAAATTGGCCCTGAGACAAATATTTGACATATATTTTGTTTACCTGAAATTCCTACATTTATGTGCTTTCCATTTATGAAACTCACTGTATTATATGCACTGTATTTATACACATGGTGTATGAGTCGCCGTGAACAGCGAATAGCTGGGCGAGCGGTGAGCGAGCGATCGAGTGGATAAAAATATACAAATTCCGCCCAGGCCCGGGGGCAGGGCCGAGACATAGACACAGCCATAGACGGGTGCGGGGGGTACATGGGGGTCCAGAAAGTTAATAGGTTTTCCCATCAACAACTTGATCTTCGAATCATTCATTATCTTACCCGACGGTTTTTATTATTCCGAAAAGGCTTGTAGGACTTGGCCTTGTGTTTGGCCCCCAGATGCAGTTTCTTCATGGCTGCTGCGAATCACTCACACAAACACACAGACACAAAATCACGATCGAATAACAATCCGAATTGGACACTGGGACAAGTGGGGGTCACTTTTCATGTACCGCGACGCGCGCCAATTGTGAGTTGTCCCCAAATAAATTATGCAATCATTTTTGGAATCGCTCTGCGGTCGCGAGGCAATATAAACAAACACTCAGGCGTTATGGGCCAAGTGTCTTAATGGTAATCGTTAAATGGCCAAGACACACACACTGAAAGAATTGGGTCATGCTGGGCTCGTAGCCAGAGCCGGACACATGGCAACGATTGAGAAGCACTTGCCACACCATCCGCGCAATGGCAACAAATGGCTGGAAATATGAACAGAATATCGTAATGTATATATGTATATATGGATATATAGAACAGTTCAGAGCGAACCGAGACGGAGACCGAGACCGACCACAGAGAAGACAACAATTTCGACTGACAATATTTTTTGGCACCCGCACCGCATCCATTGACAAAAACCACTGCGAGAGAGCCACACAAACCGGGGATCGGATGGGATCGGATCAGAGAGAGAGAGAGAGCTGAGAATGGGGAGAATGTTGGAAGGGGAAACAAATGTCTTATCGATGCAGGAGATATGTTTATATGTATAGTTGATGCAGATCTAATCGTAAACATTTTCTAAGCTACTAAAACTACGCGTACGATGAGAAAGTATCTCAAGAATGGTCTGTGCCTCGCCTCCGCCTTAGTACTGCTGTCCCTGGATGCCCTGGCCCAGGCTGCGCAGCTCATCGATCAGCGCTGCGTTGCCGATCCTCTGGTGGTACTGCTGCATCTGCTGGTAGGGTGCGAATCCAATGTAGGAGGGCACCTGCTCGGTGTAGGCTCCTGCCGATCCGTAGGCGGCCGGCGCCTGCTGGGCACAAGGTGCGGGCACCAGGTTGGGCTGGCAGCTGAACAGATAGTTCTTGGGGCACGGTGGCGCTGGCACCGAGGATGCAGCTGGAGCGCCATAGGAGCTGGAGCAGGAGGCGCAGGCAAAGGCCGCGAACACGACAACGAGGAAAGAAACGGTCTTCATGGTGTACATTTGGTTCTGGTCTTTCAACTGATACTTGGCTCTACCCAAGTTCTACTCTTTATAAGGTTTCTTGGTCTTTTGGTAAAGTGAAATTCTGCAGTTTTCCTGCAATTTATCAGCTTAGCAGTTTGCAATTTAATCGAAGAAAAAACTGCAAAGCAACGTCAGAACGTGGGTGTCTAAAAGGGCTGGAATTTTGTTGGGTGGCTGCACTGGGGACAGAGGTTGATTTCATTTCTAGACAGTTGCCAGCCAAACTTTTTATTGCTGTGTGCAGCATTGATTGAAAAAGTGTTAATTGGTCATTTTATGCATAGTTCTGAGTCGATGCTTAAAGGCTTTATATTAACTTGTGACCTAAAATTCGCACGTGTTAAAAAATTGATTTCAAATTTATCATTTTGAAGACATCTTCATATTACATACAAAAGGCGATCACAAGCGGTGGATATTGGAAAATCAATTTAATTTGTCTTGAAATCAAGTGCTGGTAAGAGAGACAAGAGATCAACTTTTAAATTCAAATTTCGATAGCTCGATTTGTTCGATCTCTCTATTTACAATCGATCTACAGGCAAGCGCCATCTAGCGCCCAACATCTTCAAATAAAGTTACGCAACATCTTCCCATTTACGAAATTGGCAACATATACCAAAAAGGATGTTACCGTACTCTACAAAATTAAAAATCAAAATAGCTCGAAATAGTTTGTCAAGATCAAGACGCAATAATTTAAATGAAAGGTTAAGCTGCACCATAGATAACGTAATGTTACTATACGTACATGCATACAAAGTATGCTTTTTTTTGTATATCATACAATAGAGCGAGATGCCCAGATCGTTATTCTAAGCAGGTTTCCGTTTACTGCAATTCTTAGTCGCTTCCAAAATATGGAAATATTTCGTGAATTTATGTCGAGTAGCTGTCATAACTTTGCGTTTGACCTGCCACCAGTTATTATGGAAATTCTAATTGACCCTGCCGAGGCAATCATAAATTGCCTAAATCGAGCATCCAAATCCAAATGGCTGCGGATACTATGCAAATGCAACAATTACAGTTTTCTTGGAACAAACTGAAAATAAAGGAATTGTCAAAAAACCGAAGAATTGTCCAATAACTATGAGGAGTGGACTTCAAATTTGAATTCACAAAATTCACATTTCTGAGAGACAGAAAAAGTTGCAGAAATAATATTTATTATATTCCAGAATTCCAGAATACATTTTACTTATTTTCGGATTTGATTTAAAGTTTTCCAATCATTTTTCTCTGGTCAGCAGCATCGAAACGGCAGCTATGGCCCAATAATATTAGTATGCACGTAATTGTAGCATTAAACACACAATTTTGTCTACAGATCGATGAAAATAAACCGTTCCCAATGCGAAAGCCAAAGCCGCAGCCACAGCCTCCTCCTCCACCTCGCTACAACTTGATTTTGTTTTGAATCTAACTTGTGTGTCAGTCAGCGCTCGCAGGTATTTTGTGTTATTTTTGTGTCCCTCCCCCCTTGGGCTGGCAGAGTAAACTTTAATTTGAGAAGGATCGGATCGCGATCGGTGGATTGGGAATGGGAATGGGAATGGGATGGGCAATTACGCGCATGCACATGATGATGATCCGCCTGCCCCTGTTTTTCGAGCCACGGCGCAGTATCAGACCTAAATTTTAATCATAGGGTTCGTGCCGCCTGCCTGCCGCTGGCCTTCAAAGTGGGGCACACACACACAGCCAAGCAGAGATCAGCGAACGAGAGAGGCAGAAAGAGAGCCGTTTTGATTGCCCCACAACCGTCTAACGGTAAACAAATACTTTTGGCCCTTTGTGTGCCAGACCAGACATGGCCCCAAGATATACATCTTAACTGGAACTCCAATTGAAGATGCACTCAATGAATAATGATTGAAATTCAAGGATGCCTTCGGTACAGGAAGTTTAGCGCTGTCAGGCATGGAAATTCTCTTCTCTTTTCAGAGAACACTTTAAAGGAACTTCGGATCTTTCCAACTTCGATTCAAATGTCTTCTTTGAGTCCTCCTCCTGCAACTTTTCTCAATGTTTACTTTGCCTTTGTTTTTGAGTTCATGTTTTTTGTCTTAGTCAAAGACCTTTTAATCGGAATTGGCTCGAGCCACCTGCCTGCGCTTAGAGGCTCTAACCCAGCTGCTCTTTAGTCTGGTCCTGGTGCTGGTCCTTGGCTCTGCTCCTGTGGCCGCGAAGGAGGAGCCCGAACAGATACACAAACAGCAAAACACCAAAGGCAAAAACATACAAGCCAAGAACATGTCTCGGTACTTACGGCGCCGTATCCGCTCGCGACTCTTGCACCATGGGGCACCCAACCATATCCTTAGCAAGCTCAACGTCCACATCCTTGGCAACATCTCAGCGATCCACACCTCTGCGATTCGCTCGGCGCAGTCTAACATTTTTTATTGCATCTAATTTGAACCGCGGCCTAAAAGGAGTCCATGTCCATGTCCAGTCAGTGTCTGTTGTCTGTTGTCTGTTGGCACCGCCGTCTCTGTGGTAATTTAAGACATTGTTCCCTTGCCACCAGGAGTCGTCAATTATGAGTTAGCGCTGCCGTTCCTTTCCGTTCCGTACCGTTCCCCTTTTTGCCACCAAAAGCGTTGACGAAATGCCGAGCTTTGTTTTAAATTAAATTTAATTAGCAACAGCTCAGCCGAGCGACCCGAGCGTCCATCGGTTCAGGCTTCGCGAAGGAGATCCAAAGGCCAGCTTATAATTCATGCCTTTGGAACATGGCACGTGTCGTTTGGCAGCTGCTCCTGCGACTGCCACTCGAACAAACGAACGGGCTACCAGGGAGCAGCAGGGACTATGAGGAGGGGAAACGGAGACCCATATGCAAGCAGCGCTAACAATGCCGTTATAAGTGGCCCATTAACACGGTGTCAACCGCCATGCAACGGCAATTTCCGTCGCTATTGCCGTTTATCGATTTTCAAATTCCATTCAACGCGAGTGGCCTGAGTCTCTCTCCCGCTCTCTCTACTAATGGGGCCAATGAGTTGTCGGATGCTCTGGCAACGGAAGCTGTTGGTTGGTTAGTTGGTTGGTTGGACTTTGGTGGGCAAAAAGCGAATTGAGTTCGGATTACGCTGCTTGTGGGTCATTGCTATAATAGAGAAGTGCATTTGTGCCTTAAGGACGATGGCTCATCCCCGGTTATGCAACTATAGAGGGGAATCAGTGACATTTAGGAAAAGATTTCTGGAAACTTTAGCTGGCATCTGCATTTATATTTGAATATTTCAAATATTTGATGCCACTTTAAAGTTTATAAAAAGATGGAGCGTTTTTTTAAATAGATGAGCAACTGAGAGAATTGATATTAAGGATATTAAGGAATTAGGAGTCATTGTCATAACCACAAATATTTTTTTTGCTATATTCTTTATCCGTAAAGATTATTTAAATAGGGTTTACCGTACCTGTTGGTTCCGCAATTCTCACGGCGTACAAAGGTTAGCTGCAGTTAGCTGCCTGGGCCTGTGAGCTATAACCTCGTTGCTTGTACTCGTGCCTGGTCCTTATAGTGCCGTCGCTCCTCTAAGTTGTGAGATGAGATCACTTTGAAGACCTGTTGCTGCCTGGCTAGCTCTCATCTGGAATGGCGCAGAAAAATGAAGAAAATAAGATAAGTAACCAAATTCCGAAGTTGCAGCTCCAACAGGAAATCGAAAATAAAAGCACGAATTGTCAGGCGCGAAGTGGAAAGGCAACAAATAAACAAGTATGCATACATATGTACATACATACATACATACATACATGTGTGTACATGCATGTACATATAGACTTGTGTGTGTACATTCTTGAGTTTTGCAATGAGAATTTCAAAGTCAAGGTTAAACGAAACATTTGCTCTTTTCTCTCCCTTTTCTGTCCGTTTTGGCCTTGGCATTCGCTTTCGCTTCGTTCCCACTGTCCCAGCCAGCACTCTGCAAGTGCTTTTGTGTGCGAGTGTGTCGGTGTCTAACAGCTACGCATGCGCGCATCGCACTGCAGGAGCCGTCGCAGTTATCGCTGTGGTTGTTGTTCGTATTCTTCCAGACTTGCCAGACAACGTCGCGAACGTCCTATCCTGTCCGTCCAGTGACAGAGCAGCGGAGTCTTCACCTCGCTGTTCACTTGATCAAACTCAAGTACAGCGAGGGGCCTGGAGGCTCTTAATACACTTGCAAAGAGTTCTTTAGTTTCGCGAGATTTGTATTACGCATACTAGGGGAGTTTTAGTATCAGTAAGCTACAGATAAAGCTCTAGAGATAGCTTAGCATTCAGGGGGAGATTAAAGCTCCTTTGACCCAACCAATTTCGTATTTGTAATCTGTATATTGACTAAGGTACAAAATTAATATGGTAGAGTATAAAAACTTCGTCCCACATTTGTTTTAAGCTTTTATTATAAGCATACATATTGCAGCACGGGTTTGTTGTTGTTTCTGTGGCGTGGCTACTGTTACTGCCCAAATGAATGTCATGTGTTGGCTGCAGCCGCAGAAGAGGAATTCAATTTTTTTTGTGTGCACGACTCGCAAAACAAGAACCAAAAATAAAATAAAATAAAATGAAGTAAAGTAAAGTAAAAAAAGGACACAACTCGTTTAGTGTTGCAGACAGGTCCCAGACATGTGCAGATGCAGGGTAGTCGCAATTGCAAAAAGGCTGCCAAACTGCAGGTGAGAGTACTCCACTCCGCACTGCCTGTCTGATTCAGGAAAGTTTAATGAACTGGCCACGCCCCACCCGCACAACCACTAATACTTTCTCATTACGCCAAAATTCCATGTAAAAAGCCCATGACTTGCCCAAAAACAAACTTCAGAGAGCTTTGCCAACTGTCCGAATCGATCAGCATTGACGAGGGTCAAAGTCCAAGTGCAGGTACAAACCAGTGAAGGTACAGAAACAAATCATTACCTGCGCCCGCTTGGCACAGAATGGTGTGGAAATGTGTAATGCAAAACGCAGACTACACAAAACAATAATTACTTGTACAATATTGGCGATGTG